CAAATCTCTGGACACATTTGCTGTGCTTGATGACGGCTCAGAAAAGACTGTTGTGCTTCCTGCGGCAGTTGAATCTCTAGGTTTGGAGCAGGAGGAAGCAACACTCGCACTGCGAACTATCCGTTGAGATGTAATCCAGATGAAGGGAGGCTTTGTCTCATTTCAGGTGTCACCGAGAGCTAAGCCCAAAGTGAGGTACAAAGTAACACATGCATTCACAGCCGACCAGCTGAGTCTAGCTACTCAGTCATGTCCAGCTGAACAGCTGAAGAAGAAGTATCTTCACTTGCAGAAAGTCCAGATCAAAGGATTTAACCAGGTCCAACCGTTGGTGCTACTTGGCTCAGATAATGCTCATCTCATCACCCCTGTCCGTCCTGTCCTTAGGGGGTCATCTAAAGGGCCAGTAGCCGTCTGCACCAAGCTCGGATGGGCCATCCAGGGGCCAGCCAGTAGTATGCCTACATCTGAGGGGGAGCTGCAGTGCCTGAACATGTGTCTTTCTCCTGCAGAGGCCCTGCATCAAGATGTGAAGCGTTTGTGGCAACTAGATGTTCCCCCCTATAGGACAGAGAAGGAGGTCACACGGTCAAAGGAGGACAGAGAGGCAGTGGCTACGTTGGAAATAAAGACCCTCAGAGTCCCATTAGATGGTGTCGAGAGATATGCCACTCCTCTACTGAGAAGAAGAGACTTTCCACGTCTGTGTGTCTCCCCTGAAGCAGTAAAGGGCCTCCTCAGATCTACTGAACGTAAGCTGGCCAAGAACCCTGATCTGACCCATACATACAACCAGGAGATCCACAGGTTAGTAGAGTCTGGCTATGTTGCTAAGCTGAGCCCAGATGAGACACATAGCTCTTCTGAGTCATGGTATGTACCGCACCACATAGTACATCACAACAATAGGGCTAGAGTGGTCTTCAACTGTTCGTTTGAGTTTCAGGGGTCCGTCCTGAACCGCTGCCTCTTACCAGGACCTCCCATGGGGCCCACTCTGCTGGGGGTATTACTCCGCTTCCGTCAACACCCTGTAGCCGTGAGTGGAGATATCAAAGCCATGTTTCATCAGGTTCGGCTGCTCCCAGAGGATTGTCCCCTGCTACGGTTTCTGTGGAGGGATTGTGAAACGGATCGGCCCCCAGACATATATGAGTGGAGAGTTTTGCCCTTCGGAACGACATGTAGCCCCTGCTGTGCTACGTTCGCCCTACAGAGACATGCTAGGGAGCACAAAGAAACCCACAAAGACATCTGTGACTCAGTCCACACAGCCTTCTACGTGGATAATTGTTTACAGTCTCTGTTCAACCCAGAAGAAGCAAAACAGCTCATCGACCGAATGAGAGATTTACTCATTCAGGGAGGATTTGATATACGACAGTGGGCGAGCAACGTGCCCGAAGTAGTTGCTCACCTGCCCGCTTCAGCTCGATCAGAGAGCTGTGAACTTTGGCTGAACTTCAAAGGTCTCGACTCACAAGAGTCAACTTTAGGACTTAGCTGGCACTGTCCGACAGATGTCCTGGGATATAAGCACCGCCCTATCACCTACTCCACGGTCACGCTGCGCAATGTGTACAAGGTACTAGCTACCCAGTATGACCCACTAGGTTATATTTGTCCCTACACTACAAGGGCCAAGCTGATTGTACAGGCCCTGTGGAGCACAGAAAGAGGGTGGGATGAGCCCATCGAAGGGAATCTACTTCAGTCCTGGCTTGAGTGGGAAGGCGAACTGTCACACCTTCAGCATGTCACCATTCCCCGTTGCTACGCTCCTCCTCATAACTCCAGCAATGCGACATACGAAGCTCACGTATTCTGTGACGCATCGGAAAAGGCTTATGGGGCTGTGGCTTATCTCAGGGTAATCGAGCGGCAACGGCCCATCATCACATCATTCCTGATGGCTCGCTCCTGAGTGGCCCCACGCAAGCAGGTGTCAATGCCCCGGTTGGAGCTTTGCGCAGCACTCACAGGAGCCCAATTGGCCAGATTACTCCAGACAGAGCTTACTGTTCCCATACAGTCGATTTACCTGTGGACAGACTCTACCACGGTGCTGCAGTGGATCCAATCTAGTTCCTGTCGCTATAAGGTATTTGTGGGGACTCGAATCTGTGCAATACAGGAGCTGACATCTCCTGAACAGTGGCGATATGTGACCTCTGAGCTCAATCCTGCTGATGACATCACCAGAGGGAAACATCTCGCTGACCTAACAGCCCCCAATCGTTGGTCACATGGTCCACCTTTCCTATTACAAGCTGCTGACACTCGGCCTAAGCTGCCAACAGAGTTTCCAGCCTGCAATGAAGCAGAGCTCAGGAGGACTGCATTCTGTGGGCACGCTTCTGTATCCCCAACCTTGCCGGATCCAATGCAGTATGCCTCACTAGATAAGCTGATTGCTGCTATGTACCGGACCCTACACGGGGCGGCCGACACTCCTATTACAGCCGCGGAGCGACTGGAAACCAAGACCATGCTGCTCCGCTCAGCTCAGACCGACAGCTTCGCAGAGGAGACCAAAGCCCTCCAGACCAGTCGCCCAGTCCGCTCAGACAGCCGTCTTAGCATGCTGTCCCCTGAATATGACAGTCTTACTGGTCTCATCAGAGTTGGAGGCCGCCTTCGTCAAGCCGCAGACTTAGATCCGGACAGTATTCATCCCATCGTATTAGCAGCGGAACATCCCCTGACCAAGCTCATCATAAGGACTTATGATGACCAGCTCCTTCACCCAGGTGCAGAGAGGCTATTTGCGGAGATAAGGCGCACCTATTGGATTCTCAGAGGACGTCAAGCCATTAAGAAACACCAGCACCAGTGTGTGGACTGTAGGAGATACTCCATAGTAACATTCTTTTAACTCCTAGATAAAAGGACTTTGCCATTTGATTTTTAACAATTTCTCGTCTTTCCCAATATTTCACTTTTTATTAGTTATTTTTCTTTGTTATAGAATGAGTCAAAGTCAGCTAAAACACAATAAATAAAATGTAGCGTAGGCAAATCGATGATTTTTATTTGTTATGACCAGAAAGATGTAATATTCTAATGTAATTATAAAATATTAACCTGCAAGATCTTTATTGTAATTATTCAGAAGATTCTAGGTTTTAATTCAGACGATCTAGGTTCTTTGCTTTTTTCAGTGATCAACCACACTTTGTGTTATTTCAAGAAAGAGTCAGGTTTATAAAAGTAAGAATTTATTTTACAAACAATTTAAAACATAACTAATTAATTAAGCATTTACTGTGAGTGGATGTAAGTAAACATGATGAAGGAACTATGTGTGAATGCGATGTCAGTCAGAACTTCCTTATCAAAGTAAGCTGAGTTCTGGTGAAAAGAATTTGATTTGCTCTAAGCTATAAAGTTGTTATCATCAGAAGAACATCAGACGCAATCTGTCATGTCTACTTCACCCGTTTTGGAGAGACCCTCTTGGTGGATCTGAAAGTCGCAGGGGTCGGCTGACCTCTGGCACCGGAGGGCCGTAGAATACCGTTGTACCAACTCTTCAGTCCAGAGATGTCTCGGGTCACAACATCTGGATGGAACCGTGCGTCTGGCGGACTCTTAAGGAGTCTAACAATATCAGCCTTGTTTCTGCAGGAACTGTTTGCTCATCAGCTTTGCAGGTGCAAAAAGGTGTTGACGACACATCAAAATCTTTGATGGTTAAAGAGGTTTTGCTACAGGTGGCCGGCCTGAGCGATTCTCTAGAACTGTCGAATCACTCAGGATGATCCAGTTTTAAGGTTTTGATGTTATGACTTGCACAGCCAATCAGAGACTGACAAGTTTGAGAGATGTTACCAAGACAACTCAGAAACACACCTTTTTGATACAGGATGTTCTGACTGGTTTAAAAGTCTCTATGTGTTGGAGTTTAACTTAACCGTACTTGTTATTGTGTGAGTGCAGATGTGAGGACCTCATCATTAAAACATGTTGAACACATGGCAGGTTCTAGTAGACATAAACATAACATAACATCCATTCAGCGTGCACATATTAATGAAGCATTTCATTATATTATAATTATTATAAGTCGTAATAAACAAATGTTTATTTAATGATTAGATTATAAGTCATGGAAGAAGTTCATATTGATTTTGGAAATCATTCTTGAATTTAGCAATTGATTCGAGCTTGAGTTGTTCCTTCTGTGGAGGCAGACAGATGGGACCTTGGGAAAGAAAGTTATTGTTTATCTTTCAGACTTGCAGAGTCTGTGAGTCCCAGCTGGTATGAAGGCAGACTCATTTAAAGGGAACACATGCAATGGTGTGTCTCCTTTCTGACCAGATGTTGAATAGATGTTGAAAGGTCCGACTGTACCTAAACTGACCATTGCTGGACGTTACAAAAACATTCAGCGGGGACTCGGAATCATTCTCAGTCACAACCCTAACCCCGTAAGGGTCTGTTTATTAGGCATTGTCCAGAATTAAAAAGCTGATTTTCCAAACGGAGTAGTTAATATCTTTATGAATGCCACATGGGTATAAGCACCATGGAGCTGGGGAATACACACTGCGGCAGTCTGTGATAAAAGCTCCAGTACACACCTGAGGTGTGCAACACTTCCTCTGCACACACACCAGGCACTGTGATAATTAATACTAAATTGTCTCAAGATTTGGTTACCCTTTCCTACAAAACAATGTGACCTTTATGAGAGGAGACTTTAAGAAAGGTTCATTCAAACCTGTTATCTTACCGCTTCATTTTCCTTCAGCGACTTTAACAATTTCTATCAATAAGTTACTTATGAGAGGAAAGGGAAACTCAGGGAGCGAGGAATAGGTGTGATGGATTGGTGAGTTCAGGCTGTTTTTAGTTTGTCCTCTGAAATCGCCTCCCGGTTCATATATAGATGCCACACTGTTGCTTGTGAACAACCTTTTATTTCTTCCTGAAAGTAGAGCAAATGGCTTTGAATGCATCCAAGCGTTAAGCTTTGGGGATTTGTGCTTTTCCAGGCAGTACGTCAGAGAAAAGGCGATCGGTGTGATGGGTCTGAAACCGACGGGACGTTACTGTGAAGTGGTGCGATCCAGAGGGCTGAGGGCCTGCAGGTAAAACCGCTCTTCTGCATCTGAAGCCTATGAAAGCAGTAAACACTTGTTTATTTTATTCTTGTGCTTTTGAACACGATAGGGGGAAGCTGATCAGCTCCATACTGGATTGGGAAGACGCTCTTCCCGACGGAGACCTGAACAGAGCAGATGACGCAAGCAGGTAAGACAAACGTGTTTCCTCTGGTGCTGAATGACACGTCCGGCGCTCATGCAAACCTGTTCCGTGAAACAGGAAAACAGGAAGAGAAGTGTTGGTTGTCTGAGCCCTGTAGCTTTACTGACAGTTTCCTCAAGTGCTTATTTGAAAACCTTTTCCGGGGGAAGGGGATGTCTGCGTTAATGTTCCCTCATGAACATCTTCATTCATTCCTTTTACTGGTGTTTACAAAGCAGCAAGATGAACTGGGTGCACGAGCGCGTCGCCTTGATCTGCTGACACATAATAGCTTCATAATTACCATTTAAATTGCTGAGAGGAGATTTGGAGCGCTGACCTTTGAACTATGAATTGTCCTCTCGCAGCAGGCAGAGAAAAATGCCCGTTATTCAAAGCGGGTTTATTGTTTAGCTTCAAGGTTACTAAATGTTGCATGTCATACGTGGACAGACTCAGTGATGTGTGGGCTCTCTTCAGGTTTGCCTTGTTGTTATGGTTGAGTGTGCAGGTTGTTGCAGTGCTACAATCCTCATTAGCCACTCTGTCTAGGTGTGCATGTCTGTTTGTAGATTCTTACTCATCAAGTGCTTTAGTTTAGTTTTGTTTCTTGCTTTCTAAAAGTTCCTTTTAGTGGTAGACCGATATATTGGTCAGCAAATATTTACCTTTTTTAATATATTGTCATGTGTCTATGTATGTATGTCTGATCTCAGAATTGCGTGTACTGAAACTCTAATTTCCCTCTGGGATTAATAAAGTATCTTTGAATTGTAATTGAATGAAAGCCAGTTTAAAGTCAGGCACATCCCAGGGCAGCCCGGTGCTGCTGCTGAATTTGGTATAAATTCGTTTTTTTACGTTTTTCAATAACATCTGCATACTAAATGCTCTAAAAAAGGTTACAGTTTTATTTTAAAAACCAGTTTTGAATATTTAACACTTGGTCAGGTCATTGATTTGTTCGATAAACTTTAGTTACACGTCTGATTTTAACACTGAGCAGTGCACTTAATTAAGATTTAGAAGAGTTCAAAATTTGTTTCAGCTTCAGAAATTTGGTGCATTAACTGATGTTATTAGTGACATTTTAGCATGAAAATAAGGTGGAAAAGGTTCATGGACATCGGACATGAAAATTGGCAGTAGATATCGGCCTTCGGCAGTAGATGAACCAAGATCAGTCCATAGTTCCTTTGCTTCTCGTTTAAAGCCATATTATGCACCTTTTTCACATATTTAAATTGTTTTCTTGAGCCAGTATGTGCTGAGATTATCCTTTACAGAGTTAATGAAATGTCACTCAGACCCCCACTGCACTCTTTGGCACTTGCAACCTCAGACTGGCAGCCGCCACATGTTGGAGTTGACATACCTGGTGCTGCAGTCTGCTTCCAGCATGTTTCCTGCTTGTTTTAGATTATGAACACAACTGATTTGCTTAATTTAGTGATGAATTACTCCTGTAGACACTAATGAAGGCTGAGGAGACATTTCAGCTAGGGATATCCAGATTCAATCACCTGACTGGAAATCTGTCTCGATCAAGTGGTTTCAAACTCGATCAGGTGTTACTTCCCGATCTGCGCTCTGATACAGGGTTCAAATTACAGGAGAGCTAAGGGGAACCCGGATCTCTTGAAAGGTTATCTGGCTCCCCTGAAGCCTTAAACTTGCACACCCAGAAGGCAATTGTTCACGTTCGGTCATATTCTTTCTGGTAGTTTCTGTCTGTTTTAATGCTTGACGCGCCCATCATCAATGGTCCGGTGAGGCCACGTCACTGGTGTGGCTGGGCAGCGCAGCACACTCTCCACTGTTTTTGCCGTCAGTAGATCCATTGACCTGCTTAGTTAAAAAGTAACTTGTGAGGTAAAAAAAAGTAGGAAGTCAGGCAGCTTTTTTCTCTGGAGGACTGAGAGGAGATGCAGGAAGATCAGAGACAGACGCAACAGGAAAATAAAAACCAAGAAAACAAATTTAAGTTCTTGAAAAATAAAATGTAGGTAGATTTATCCCACTACACATTTTTACTAGGGATGAGCCGGATACTCATTTCAGACGAGTATTTGGTACGGATAAACCATTTTTGACGAATACGAGCATGAAACAAGTAAAACTCGTAAATATCTGTAATCGTGCTGAAGGAAAATCCTCATTGGGTAACTGAATGTCTTCACGCTCTGTGATTGGCCAGTCACCTGCCCCTCCCTACACACAAAACTCTGCAGCCGGGAGCTCAGTCCGTCCGGCTCATCCACGCACACACACAGACAGTAACGGATCTCTGTGCTTGCTTCACTGTTGCTCACGTTTCTTAAGAACTCCCTAGGTTTTCGTCAGCTCGCCTCTTTTTCAGTTGAATATTTAAAGTTACTTTTTTCGTAACTTACATGGTGCATTTGACAAGACAGAGCTGACGTGCTGCATCAGTCACTCACAACCTTCGCTCCGGTCGTTTTTTTTTAACTCCATCTCTCTCCCTCTCACCCTCTCTATCTCTCTCAGACACACACACCTTAATCAACATTGTTTTGTTTAACTTTGTGTGGGACAAAATGCCAAGAACGTTAAGAAAAAAATCAGTTTATTCAAATTAAAATAAAAAAATATAAATAAAGTTGTGTCTGGTTCTAGCATTTCATATTTCCTAGTTCCTACTGCATGAAATCAGATGTATTAATCCATGCACTTAAATATTAATGTTCTGATTTTATTGAAAAACTTGTTCTGTAATAGTTCCTTTACTATTGTGATCAAAAATATTTAATCTAAATTCTGAGGCTGCTCTGTAAATAGTTTTCAAATAAACAATACACATAGCAACTTCTGATCAATCCCAGGGCTGGACTGACCATAGGGCATAGCGGGCAGTTGCCCGCTATGCCCTATGGTCAGTCCAGCGCTGATCAATCCATATCAATTTCAGATTTAAAATAATGTATTGATGTAAACCACACCCACTTCAGGTTAAACCACACCCACTTCCACGTTATGTCACGCCCACTCTGAGTGCAGATACAGATACAGATAGTGGTGCACTCGCTCATCCCTAATTTTTACCTTTGTAAAGCAATGATTTATCAGCATGTAATATTTATATCTTTGATTCAATTCAGATCACCTCGAAAACTAAGTCCTACGCCCAGGGCCGTAACAATGCATTTTGGGGGCCACAGCAAAATAGACCCTGCCAGCCATTTTTAGTTAAGGTGCTTTGTTTAATTTTATATATATATATATATATATATATATATATATATATATATATATATTTGCACTAAAGTACAAAAGTGAGGTTTTTATGTCATTTGTTTCTTAATTGTTCAAGCTTTCTCACAGAAGTGATCTGTTTGTCAACAGAGTTGTTAATGTTAAAATAAAGTCAATTAAAGAAAAAATTAAGAACATTCTGGATGTTTCTTCGCTTTCTTTAATTTTATGTATCGGATCGGGGCTCGGTATCGGCAGATTCTCAAAATCAAATGACTCGGACTCGAGGGCAAACAAACCTGATCGGGACATCCCTAATTTCACCTCTGAGAGTACGGTGTTAGAAAGACAAACGCACAGCGAAGAGAGCAAGTAAAATGCCAAGTGTGCCTTTAACAGATTTATCTCTGCTGAGATGGTTTCATGAGGAAGCATTTCTGTTCTGGCCTTTTAAATCATTTTTACAGACAAAAGCACTCAATGTTGATCACGTTAATAGCATTGTAAATCTATTTTGCTATCACGCTCTTCAGGTAAATATCTTAGGGTCACAACACAAAGCACTTATACCGGTATTTTCACATTTTGGCAAATCTCTCTTTTTTTTCAAGTTTTTACACTTGGCGCAGCGAGAATACAGAATAAGTTTAGACCAAAGTTACTGTTTAATCTTTTAAAACTCCTCACTCCTTTAAAATTCTTCCTTATGTGAAGCTGAACTTAAAGAAAATCCATCAAATACACATTTTGAGGCTCTTATGTTCTTGAACGTACTTGAAAAGGAAAGAAAAAAACATGGAATATTTATGTCAAAGACCTTTAAAGAGTGCGACTACCAGGGTACCACGACTAGGCTCCAAACAGAAAAAGACTCACCCCTGGAGCCACAAAAGCTGTACTTTATTTTCCTCCAATTGGATCAAATTTAATCCACATTGGTTCTTTTGGGTTGTTACGGATGGGTTGCTCAGGATGCCTTATTATTTTCGCCGTAGATCGATATGTAGATCACTTTCCTCTAAAGGAGAGGCCTCCAGGATTTGCCCAAAGTTCTGTTAAATGTTTTTCACTTATATTCATTTTAAAAAGTCCTGGAGGCATCTCGTTAAATTTTCACTCACAAGGTTTTGCGTGCTCCTTGTAATAATTATTATACTTATTCACATTAATGTTATTTGTGGCATAAATTACATTACCCAGCAAAAGAACAGCATTAAAGTTTTACTGATTAGTGCAACTACTCTCTTTCATATTATTCATAATTAAGGCTCCTTCCTTTCCTCTGTGATTGTTGCATGAAGGGATATTGTATAAACCTACTGTATCTTTTAAGGTTTCTGTAAAGCAAGCTAAACAAATACATTTATTATTAAATATATTATTATGTACTCCTAAATATGTGCACGAGTTAGTGAGCTCATGCTTTGCAGCATCTCCTCTGACTCCATCATGATGTTTGATTGTTGTGAAACCTGTTGGTTTAAAAGACGTTTTCCTGATCTTTCATCGTTATTAATCTGCACAATAACAACACAATAATGTCACTTATTTTAGATGAAATGCCTAATAAAGTCTCTAGCTGTCAGTCTGGATCTTCATTGAGTTTGTGGAACAAAGGTCAGAATAAACAGTATCTCAAAAGTTCTATTAACAAATTTTAACAAAATAACAAAAAATAAAATAGAGATGCTTAAATATAAATATTTAATCAAAAATTTGCAGAAATATTTAATGTTGCAGTGAAGAATCCCCCCCCCCCACACACACACACACACAGTGGTTCTTATTGTATTATTACACTTTTATCTATATTGTAATTTTTTCGTTTTATTCTGCAGAACTCAGCTAAGTTTTTATTTAGCAAAACCAAGATTTTTTTTTTACTCGAAAATCAAGCCAAGCTTGTCACTGATGACAGGTCAGTAAATCTGAAAACCAACTCAGAAATCCTCTTCACACCAACAGTTTAGCAAGAAATAACTCACACCCCAGCGTTCCACAGCAAGGCTGAAGTGTTGTCAGTGAAGCCCACGGATTGCCGTCGGCCTTCCAAGACTGAAAAAGCACTTTTGTGTTTTGTTACAGATTCTCACCTAAAAACAACAAGGATTGTGGAGAAATTGTCTTCAGCTGAAGGGTGAAATGGCCTTTCTTCACAAAATGACACTTTTTCTTCTACTCAGAGCTAGAGAAACAGACTTTCCCCCTTAGAGGCAATCTTTTAAACTAACTGGTCCTAGAAAAGTGATAATAGGGTTGTAGCTGATTGTTTACAGTTATTTCAGGCAATCATGCTTGCTTTTAGCCACTAAAAATTGACTTTTTTTTGTTAATATTGCCTATGTGTGTAACTAATAGTATCTAACTGGGATAATCAGAAGGGGTTGTGTGTTCATGTGCAGGAAAAAATAAACTATAAAGGGACATTATGGAAGTTTGACAGCCAAAACATGTTTAGAAATAATAAATTTCTTCTTCATACATTCTCCTGCAATGCCCTGGCCCTGTAGAATGAGCCCTGGCATTTTTACTGTGATTGCCTGTTTTTCTGTAAAATCACAGAAAAAGAGAGTTGCTCGGGTCGAGCAGGCTGCTTCATGCACGTTCACGCTCAGGCATAGCCCGTAGCATTTGCTATCAGTCGCTTTAGCAGCAGAGAGAGAGGTAGTGCCAACTCAGCGACTTTGTCGCTGTTCCTCACGCCTAGTGATGAACCTAGCTACATTTCTGAGGACCCTTAGCTACTTTCTGTAGAACTTTCTTCTAGAAATTTCCTGTAAATTAGCAACAAAATAGCCATTTTCGCTCTGAACCGTTCTTTGGTTTGACGTTGTTTCAGGTGTCATCAAGGATATAAACGTTACAGATACTTTGAATGTTACTAGTGTGTAGCTCACCTTGTAAAATGTCTGACTCATGCTGAAGACTTGGGTTCGATTCTGGGTGTGAATATAGTTTATTTTATTTAGAGTTTCTTTTTTACATTAATGGTATATTTTTTTACAGTAAGACGCCCAAATTTTTATTTGAGACTTGCCGAACGGCATTGAATTCACAGATAAAAAAGATGTGGATTCAACTTTCATTTTGGAACTATTTTTCAAGCAAGGGAAGGGAATGATCTGAGCATGCAGGAGGACTGACCCATCTTAAACCTTTGTCAGCTGTGCTGAAAAGAAAGGTACAGAACCAAATTATTTAATTAATTAGCTGTGCGTTCTCCTGTCCTCTGTCCTCCGGGCCCCACACACACACACACACACACACACACACACACACACACGCACGCACGCACGCACGCACGCACGCACGCGCGCACACACACACATACACACACACACACACACACACACACGAGACTGTCTCAGCTGTTATTTTCGTTAAGGAGTGTGCACGTACAGCATGCAACAACATGCAACAACCAATAACCTCAGCGTTTACACACATACATCAGCTGCAGCTCAAAAGCTGGGTTAACTTCAACTTTCATCACCTGCTTTAGCTGCAGAAAGAAAACAGGCAGGTAAATGACAGACCCTGACCACCACGACTTGAAACAGTGGAAGGTTGAATTGATTTAGCGGCCAAGAGAGAGCAGAGCGTGTCTCGGCTAGTAGAAGTTCAACATTAGCATTAGCAACTCCACAACATGGCAGAACACATTCGGTTTGTGTTATTTGTGGAGATAAAACATCAACTTTGCGTTTTTTAGCTGAAAATAGAGAATGAAGGCAGCGGAAGAGTTGTGTTGCTGTTAGCAAATCAGAGACTAATGTTTACATATCAGGGAGATTAAAGAGTAAAACTCCAGATTCTGATGTTTCCAATCCCCTACTTCTCTGATTAATTTCTACTTCCTGGAACAGAAGCGCCAGGGCTTTTATTCCCCACTGAAGTCATTAATTCATACTAGAGACCACAGCGGGTTTATTGAAAAAACAAGTGAATGAAACCTTTAACACACTTTTTAAAAAGTTGTGTTTCCAAACAGCTCTCTTGTTGCTTCTGAAAAATAAAACGAGCAGCAAACCAAATGTCAAGAAGCTGTACTTGGACACTTTTTTGTTACTTGCCATGTTTTTTTTAAATAAAAATTTAGTCAAACTCAAATTGATTTAAATTCCCCTTGAAGCCAAACTTTGCCTTAACTTCACCCATTTCCACTCTGACTTTCATGCACACCCACATGCATGAATTACCCTTGAGGAAATACAGGCAAATCACAAGAATGTCAAAGAAGTCACATTTCCTGTTATTTTTTGCCTGATTTTTATCCCATCTGTTGGCATGCAGACGAGCAGACCTGGCACTGACTCTGGGCACGTCCTTGCAGATCAAACCCAGCGGGGACCTCCCACTCCTCACAAAGCGCAAAGGAGGGAAGGTGGTTATAGTCAACCTGCAGCCTACTAAGCACGTGAGTCTCATCTGCATGTTACGTTAACACGTTTCATATAGGGAGCTTCCTAATGTCTTAAAATATTTATTTTGAAGGATTTGCACAAATCAGATGAGAAAGATTACATCTCTGTTTTCACCAGGCAGTGTCCTCCAGGCCTGAAAAATTATGCTACTGTAAAACGACCTGCAGTTCCTAAAATGGCCACTTGAGGCATGCTCCACGAGGATTTAACAACTAGATAAATTGCATTTCTTGCAGAAATGCTGTTTGAATGCTGGATAGCTTAAACTGTAAGCTGAAGCTGCTGAATAGCTGAAATGAAGCTGAAAGTAAGCAAAACTGTCAAAATGAGCTGAATGTTTTGAAAGATTTAGTGGTCAGTGCACGAATTTCGTGAGTGATCCACTTCGCGGCGCTTCGCAGCTGGTGTGTTCTAGGCATTAGTGCACTGCTGCTGTTTGGATTGCTGGCTGTAGTACACATAACACACTAGCTTGCAATATAAAGAAGGACAACACCTGTCCCCCTCCAGCTCGGCTGTGTGACTGCACTAACCTGTCCTGTGTGACCCTCACCATGTAACCCTCATGTCCATGCTGTCTCTGGAGGAGCAGATAGGAAACAAGATCTCCTGTAACTTAAAATGAACCAAAGCTTCCTCCCAGTTTCTCTTTAAGCTGAATTTAACATCAGTTTATCATCATGAAAGAAAAGAATAAAATGGAACAAGAACTTCTATCTTCTATTTCTCTCTCCTTTTAACTTCTCCGTGTCCCTAAATAAAAGAGACAGATGATTACGCTGCAGCCGCTGTCACTGACCCCGCTCCCTCCCCATGACCGGACCTCCCGACATCACAGCACTCGCACCTATGGAAACCCAGCAGCTTGCATCGAGTCACTGACTGGGTTTGTTTGGGAGGCGTGGCTATTTTAACATGTCAGACTAAATATTAACTCCCATATTTATCTTCTAAACTTGGAGAGAGATGTTGGACATCTTGGACAGTCCATCTTCGGGACAAAGGGAGATAAACGAGGCTTAGAAACAGTAAAATTGTAGATGAATTGCATTTCTTGCAGAAATACTGTTTGAATGCTGGATAGCTGAAACTGTAAACTGAAGCTGCTGAATAGCTGAAATGAAGCTGAAACTAAGCAAAACTGTCAAATGAGCTTAATGTACTGAAAGATTTGGAAGCAAAAAGTACCAACAAGCGAATAAAGCACAAAAAGTAAGTGAAGAATTGAGAAAACTAATCCTAAACAGTAGAAAACTGAAATCTGTGAACATTGTTTAAAAAACTGGACAGCAAAAATGTCTAAATGACTGTTGTTTCAGTAGGACTAGTTTAACAGTATAATTTTTACATTTAGATTAACTGTGAAATTAGCAGCATATGCTGGATTCGGAAGTGGAGCAAGGGAGGGTCATCGCTTCTATCTCTTCCCATTATAATCTTTATGAATTTTTCTGAAAATTTCAAGTCGTACCTCAACTGCTATCTGCGATTTTAGAAAAAACGCAAAAAATATCAGAAAGGTCTTTTCTCAGATTTTAGTTGAAAGTCTTGTGAGTTTGTTAAACTTTGAATGAAGTCTCTAAGTTAAAGGAACCCCTACAGAGTTTTAGGTCAAAAAAGTGGTAGAATTTTGCAGAAAATTGACCAATTCCATTCATTTCAATGGGAAATTCTTTGCAGAAAAAGCTGAATAACTCAAAAAATATTAAAGATTTCAATGCCTAAATTAATGCCCGGAAAGAGCTTAACGAGCTGAACGTTTTGATAAGAATTTGTTGAAGTAGCTGAAAATTTTAAGCAGTTGAAAAGGTTAAAAAATGTGTATGGAAGCAGAATAAGAAGGATAAAGAGAAACAGGATCACTAGTTTGAATGCTGTACCAGCATTCAAACAATTACTCTCTTGTGTGAAAACGTTCAATTCTGCAGTATAAATTGATGTTTGTACAAAAATGTGTTCATTATTAATGAAGACTAGAACAGCTGAGTCTGATTTTCTCACCATCACAAGTTGATCACTCTGTTATCTCTAGATAATTTAGCCAGATTGATCATACCATCATGAGAAGTATCTTGTTCATACATTATTTAACCAGATTGTGTTGCAAAGATCAATTCTTTCTGAAGCTGCATGTATGACCGAAAAACAAACACCAAACCATTTTGACTTCACGTGGCTTTCCACAAAAGGAATAATTCCTTGAATCCCTCACAACCACTCAGCCATTTGCATTCCAGTTCACTTGGACTCATAACACTTTGCAGACTTTGTAACTACTAATAGAAAACATTTCATTAGGTGGGTGATTTCAGTGAAGGCCGTTATTTGAGGGATAATTACAAATTTCAGGTCTGTTCGTTGCAATCAGTGTCACACTGGGAACTCTGACATGAATAGGAAATTAGAGAAAGCATGACATTTGTCTACTTGACTTGTTTTGGTTGGTTTTGTAGCACAAATGAATGAAAATAGGAGGTCAAATTCATCAGATTATTTTATACAACTTTGGTTTTGTGAAACGAATCCATCTTTATTCTATCATTTTCCTTCTTGCAGGACAAACACGCCCACCTGCGTATCTACGGCTATGTGGACGAGGTCATGAAACAGCTGATGGAGCTGATGGGTTTGGACATCCCAAAGTGGGAGGGGCCGACTGTTTGCGAGAGCTCCGGCGACCCATCGGAGTCTCTGTCAGATATCAAACCACCTCGTACTGTTTCTGTCAAAGAAAAGGTGAAAAAGGAAGAAATCAAGGAGGAGAGGAAAAGACAGCTAACCGAGGATGAGGAGATCAAAGAGGAGTCGGTTTCAGTAAAGCGAGAGCGATCCACCTCGTCACAGGAGACAAATGAAGAGAAATAGCATCAGAAACTCGTCTGAATTTCTGTCCTCACAGCTGCAGCAATCAGACAGACTCAAGTAAAAACTGATGCGTGTCTAATAAGAACACAGATAATGGTGTAAAATGATGGCTTTTCTTCTTTTTAGTGCAAACTTTTGTTTTACTGCAAGTGTTTAACAGGACAGGGCGAGCGGAGATCTGGAGCACATCATTACGGTTAAAGTTTTTAATAAGGTGTGTAAGATCGCTGCTCCTCATTAATATTTATAGCGTGTGCTCCAGATCTCGTCCCTGAAGATCTTTGCCTTTTAAGTCTCCTTGGTTTGATGCGTTATAAAAGGAATATGAAGCCAGTTCCTCCATGTTTGACTGACTGGTGGCTGCTCTGTGTACAGTGAGTCTGAGGGATTTTAGGTCATGTTGGATTTTCAGAGCATAACTGAATCGTGATAATTCAGAGGGTCTTTCTAGGAATTACATTTTACAGCAGGGGAACTAAAATCTGTGTACTTCCTCAGAAAATAAACATCTGTAGAGTTTTTTTGGGGACAGGGGGGTGTTTTATATTAAATGTTGTAAACATATTTACATCTTTTGGCAATAAACATTAAAACGGAATGAGTGTTTTGTAATTTTGGTAATTAATGTAGAATTGTGGTGTTTGTTTTTATTTATTACCATTTAAAACTCTAAACACACACAGGCTGATGGTTTTCTCACCTATAAACCACTAATAAGGATGATTATCCAGCTGGTCAGTTCACCAGGACCTTTAAATAATATGATAATAGATGGATAATTACAGACTTCACTTACATTCTCACCTCTTTAATTAGTTATTTGTTTAGTTCAACAGTGACTGTAACGAGAGTGAGAAAAGACACACAACTATTGTCATGATGTCTTAAGTTGTTTATTTTTGCTAAAAGTGTATAGTTGAGGGGATAACCCTCTACCAGACCAGGACTGTTATTCTGGACCATTACAGAACCAGTCAGTGCTTTAATGTTGGGAATCTTTATTGGCTGTAATGACAGGAAAACTCGTTGAACTGGATGTAAAACAAGAACTGCTCATTTTTCTGCCATGATCTCATTTTTAGAAAGCAGGTTTGGTATAAAGTAAAGATTTCTTTAAAAAAGATGTTGCAATCTCATAAGGAGTTAAACTAGCGTGCTTATAGTATGAGATAATAGAAGACGACTTGCTGGTGTTTGAACTGAGCCTCAGAACGAGCAGGAAAGGAGCATTTCTGTGACTTTTAATGTGGCATGGTTATTGGTATCAGATGGGCTGGTCACTGGAGGTGAATAACTACTGGTTCCTGCTGAACAGCTTCTCTGAGCCACGGCATGGTGAACCTTGAAGCAGATGGAGTCCAGCAGCAGAAGACCGGGTCACAATTTGGACCCCTTAGTACCACCTGAGCCTGATTTCAATTCAGTTAATTTATATAGCGCCAAATCACGACAAGCGTCATCTCAAAGCATTTCACTAAGTAAACATTCCAATAGAGTTCATTAAGCCAATCAGTAAAAAGTTTCCTATATAAGGAATCCAGAAAAGCACATCGAGTCACTGACTAGTGTCAGTGTCGTTACAGCAATCCTCATACTAAGCAAGCATGTAGCGACAGTGAAGAGGAAAACTCCAGAGGATCCTGGCTCAGTGTGAGCAGCCATCCGCCACGACTCACTGGGAAATGAGCAATCACACACACACAAAAACATATTCCATGTGTTTCTATGGCTACATTGTGATTTCTTAGTAGATATTTTATTTAGTAAGAGATAAACTGTTGACTTTAAGTGAACCTATAATTAATTCAACAGGTGAACTACATTCTATGTTAAAGTAAAATATTATCAGGAGAGGGAGAATGTTAAGTGGTTAGCAGCAGTGGCCGCCTCCTGGAGGCCACTGCAGCTCAGAACATCATTGGGGGTTTAAACATCACAGCTCCCCATTTCCATGTCCGTACCTGAATGACCAATGTCACAAAGCTCAGATCATCTCTAACTGAGACCTCCTCTACAGGTACCAGATCTGAATCCAGTACAGAACTTTTAAAATGTGGTGAAAAAGGTTTCCTTCAATCGCCTTGTTGAATAGTGAGATGAAGAATTCAGGCAATCGGTTGTTAGTGAAGATTACCTTAAAAGTGAGTTCCATATCTGTTACATTTTATTTGCTCACACTGAGAAGTACAGTTCTCACCATTTTAACCCGTAACCTTGGTAACTCACTACATTTATGCATAGCTATTCAAGAAAAGGTTTTGCGAGCCGCCAAGTTTGTGTGAAGTCTGACCTTCTTGTGCCGAAGTAACTTTGTTTCTGCTTGGAGGAGCTTCGACCCGTTCAGGCGTACAGGACAGATTAAATGTTTCCTCACATGAACTCCTTCACTTGAGGTCCTTCCACCACCTTGTTGAAAGCAGAATCTGGTCTGACAAACATGAGCAAAGCTGCAGCTTTGGAAGTTACAGTCTGCATTTTAGCATGTGTCCAGTGGATTAACTCAGACAATAATGCATGTGTTGATGTCTACGGAGCCACTTGCTCAGATGAGCTGCGTAGGAGCTGAGATGTAGAGGCGCCTAACGGAAGATCAGCATCACATTTGTGAAGCATCAGTGGTCAGAGGGCGGCACCGGCAGGGACTATAAATAAAACCGGACAGGCTTGTGAGAGGTGTGCTGAATGGAAGGACCAGAGCTAGTTTGTTACGGAAAAGTCCAGAAGATGCCAGTCAGCGAGAGTGTGTGACTGGAGCTGGAAAAACGCAGGTAAAAGTTTATCAAAGCTGTTTTTGTTTCTCAGGAAACGAGAATCCAACTCAAAGAGCTCTGTCTGGGAAAAAAAGCAAGCACAGCTCATTAAACATGTAACACCCGCCTCACTGAAGAGACGGGTGCTGGGTGGTGGCTCGGGCTTTGTGCAAAAGAGTTACTGTCATTACTGCCACGCTTTTAAGGTGAGTGAGAATGATGAAAACAGTAAGGTCATAACACCACAAAGCAGGCTGTCACCGCAAGACACGGGAGCTCAGAGTCTGTTTTCAGCATTTTGTAAGCCCAAGCAAACCCCCCAGGAGGACTGTTGAGGCTATCAGGGGTTTGGTAAAGAGACACCCCAAAAACCAGGAAAGACCTATTTAGCAAACTAAATGACTGTTTTTTTTTAATTCATGAATGTTTTAAATCATCTCTTCAAACAGATGTTTTGCCAGCAAGTTTAAGAACCCTTCCTTTCCTCTTTATCTTTCACTAAAGCAGCATTCAGGAAAAAGCCCTAAGCTGAATGAATGAATCACGTGTCTTTCAGATGAACGCAGGGTGTTTTGGATCAATCTCCAAACTGCTGCAATCAGAGAGGAAACAATGGGAGGATTCACACCCTCACTGTGCTCCATATCAGGCGCAGTTTATCTGATTTGATCCCGAGAGCTCAGATGTCTGAGCTGCAGTGTCAGAGGTATAGAAACCATCTTTAAGGGTCATTTAGTCATAAAAAGATGAAGTGATTCTAAAACGAGCTTTAGTGCCAGACTGGATCTTTGCCTTGACTGAAATTAGAAGTTTCAGCAGCGAATTAGGACCAGATGGGTTTTTATCTTCATCTGGAGCTTTGTTCTCAGAAGATGACGACGCTGCACACTTTTAAGAAATTTGTCATCATTGTGTAGTTCCTCGGTTGCAAACAGTCACATTCTTCCTGCTTCTGCTGTCGCATAATATTTACTAGAGCGACACAATATGCGAGTGGGTCATTTTCAGCTTCAAGCGTCAAAAATCCTTTTCTTTTTTTTTTTTACTTTTATCCGATCCTGTAATTTAACTCTGATCCAGACAGTGAGATAACGCTGTTGTTAGTCAAGTCTGATCCGAAATCAGGCCTCCTTCCTCCAGTAAACGTTCAGGAAAGCTGCAGCAGTGACAGACAAGAAGGAATGTGGTTGTGTTGCCCTGCAGCTGTTTGCGTCTCCTTCAGGTTGTTCTGTGCCTGTCTCTGGGTTTGTGTCTCTTTGTGGTTGTTTGCAGAAGCTGATTGTCATTTTGTGCTTCTGTCGTTATTTGCTGCTTATTTGTGGTCTTTTTCATCTCTTTGCAGTTGTTTTGTTCATCTTCGTATTTGATGCTCGTCAATGTTCTTTTGTGTCTTTCTGAACTATTTTTCCTTATTTTTTGTTTTGCAGGATTTGGTTTGTGCTCTTCTCTCGTCTGTTTTTAAACAGTTTTGACTCGACTGCCTGTTTTTTTGAGTCTAATAGCTGTTTATGAGTTTCGTGGGTCTTTTTGGGCACTCTGCAGACTAATGTAACTGTCACTTCTGACTGGGGCTGCTTCAGGGCCGCTCTTGACCTCCTCTTTTTACAGAATAGCCCTCAAATCTTTGAACAAAGGCTTGCAGCCAATTGAGAGTTCAACTGTACTGTTCTGCTGCAGAGCTGGGTCTTTTAAACACATCAGTAATTACTTGCTGAGTTGTGTTATTTTCTTTCAGAGTTCCCGGTTGTGCTTTGCTGCACATTAACATATGATGGAGACTCTCTCTGTCTTCATCTCCCCAGCTTCGTCGTGCCTCTGCACACTCAGAGAAGTGTTTCTCTGCTGATTTGGCTGCAGATGAAACTGATTTCACACAGACTCTCCGTCTGTGCAGAGGATGTTGGAAACCGTGTGCACTCGAGGTCCCTGTTTGAGCTCTGTGTTGGTGCAGATTCACATACCCTGCATTGCAAAACTAGCTGCTCTGATGTTTTTCAAAGTTTATACATATATTCTTGCTTCTGCAGCTGACATTGACCCATTTTGCTAGTCACGCTCATCCCAGTTAATCGTGTCCTTCTGATAAATAAACACCTTGAGCCTGTAATTGTTTTAAACTGGGATCCATGCTGGCCCAATATAGACACAAATGAAACCACTCAATAGGATTTCCTCAAGTGCATTTCATCTCTTAGTGCACTTGGTGCACACGAAAGTGCTCTTGCACCAGTCAGATGTTTCCTCCCATGTATAAAAACCTCTAAAAGGGTGAAAAAATCTCCATTTTTTCCACTTTAAATCAGCAAATGCAATACAGAGATAGCAGTGTTTTGCAGAAACTGGTCCAGATTTTACACTTTTGAGCTTAAATCTCATTTTTGATTGTAATCCATCTGTAAAGATGAAGGTTTCCTTGGAGACCTGCTGGCTTCTTAGCAACATCGGAGAAAATAGAATAACCTAAAGTGCCAGATTGGCACACAATGGAGGAGGTGTGGTGGAGTGTGGGCGCCGTTTACACATCTACACTCATCTGCGGGTCAAATTTTAAAGGTTACAAAAGGGCAAAATGTGGAACAGCTTTTGTGCAACTGGCTCGTCAACCAGCAGTTGTGATTGCAGGAGTGGTTAACTATCCCTGAGACGCTGGTGAACGCTTTTGTCCTTTCTGTTTTATTTGATACCACAGGACCTACACAGATTCACAGAGCCGTTCGCAGCGATACGACAGAGCAAGAGGCTGACTGACAGCATCAAACACAGGATGGAAAATTTCCCAAGAGTTGTTTTTCTGCTCAAGAGTGTGTTGAATATTAAACACAGTCGTCTAGATGAGGTGCAGTGTGCACAAATTACTATATGGGTCAAACTAATTCCACATCGCGTAACAGTAACAGGAAACTATATCACAGATTCACTCAAATCCAGCTGATTTTATTGGGCTTTGGTCGTTTTTGGTCATCATCTTTGTAGGAAACACAAAAAACGAACAGGTTTGTCTTCATCAGACAAGTCTTCGAGTGTAACTGTGGGATGAAATAAATCTGATGTTAGGTAAAAATAACTGGCAAAACTAGTTGTTCTGTGCAGGATCTTGTGTTTGTGTGTTTATCATCACTTTGTTGATAGTCAGTGTTTCACCCACATCAGAAACTATTCAGGGTTAATTTACAACCATTAGAAACAACTTCTTTAAATGTTTCAACACATTTTTGGTATTTTTTCTACCAAATAGCATCACATGCATAGAAACTACTGAGTAATGCATGTCCTGCAGTAAATTAGCAACCAGTTATTATTCCTAATGATCTGATGCCAAAGCAAATTACCAGGGCAGTAAAAATGAGGGATTGCTGCTTTTTATGACACTGATTACAGAGGGAAAAAATCATTATTGAGAGACAGAACAATTTATTTTGAGCTCAGTAGTAGGAAATTTTAGTGAATGACCTATAATAACCACTAACAATAAGGAATATTGTGTGGCTGTGTTTGCTGACTTGGCTAATGCCTTTGACTCTGTGGGTCATAACATCTTAAGGTTGGTTTATGCTTGACGCGTCCACGAGGTCCGCACGGCTCCGCGTGGAAAAGTTGCATCATTTTGCGTCATCTGAACAACCACGCCCCTCCACCACGCCTCCGCACGGCCCAAAATTTCCGCAACGCGCACCTAGGAAATTTTCTAACCACGCGGACGGTCGGACGCGGAAAAACATGGTGGACTGGCAAGAACTAGTATGGCAGAAGTTCGTAAATACAGACATTTGTATGATTCAGCTCTCAAAGATCACCGTGATCAACATGTTGTTAATAATTCTTGGAGAGGAATAGCTCGCACTGTCGGAAAAGACGAGGACGCTGTTAAAAATGTTGGAATGCCGTGTTGTAAACAACAGTTTTTACTTCTACTATGGTGTAGTCTTGGGTGCATGCCGTAGAGCTCCATGCTGCCCCCTACAGTTTGGGAGAATACTGGCTCACCGCAGAGACGAGCCGCACGAACCATAAACGCTGCGAGTTGTGAAGCGCGTTCCATCCGCGAGCCGCAACACCAAGCGGGAAGCGAATGCGTCAAGCATAAACCAAGCTTTACTTAGCAGGCACAAACATCTAGAACTTTCTCAGGCATCAGTGGCATGGTTTAGGAGTTATACCTTAGGCTGTACACAAACAGTGAGAACAGAGGGTTACCAGTGTGCTCCTCTACCTCTATCTATGGGCGTTCCTCAAGTGTTGATACTGGGCCCAACCTTATTCAAAATCAATATTAATAACATTGTTCATGTTGTTGACAGTTCCCATGTTTATATGCAGACACCATTTTGTATCCACACAGTTCTTCCTTGAATGCAGCTTTGTCCTCCTTGCAGTTCAAATTTAATTGTCTTCAACATGCCTTCTCCAGCCTTCATCTTCATTTAAATACAAGCTAAACAAATTTCATGATCTTCAACCGTAACTTACCGCAATCCGCTTTCCACCCTAGTGTTGTTTCCCTGGATGGTACAGAACTAAAACTTGTTAGTTCTCATAAGTTTTTGGGTATCTGGCTTGTCAGCACACTTTCTTTTGACATTCACATGAATTCATTACTTTCTAAAGTCAAGTCAAGAATTGGGTTTCTATACAACATTTCTATGCTCATTCTGCAAAGCAAACCTTGGTCAAATTGACAACCCTTCCCATCTTAGATTACCGTGACATCATTTTTAGGACTGCTTCCAAAAAACTTCTTCATAAACTCATTTATCACTCAGCAATCCGTTTTGTCACTGGTGCCCCTTTCACTGCTCCTCATTGTGATCTGTACTCACTCGTTAACTGTCCATCACTCCATTCCCACAGGTTGTTACACTGGTATCAGTTCAAATACAAAACAGTCATCAGTAGAATACCGTCATATCTTCACTCATTACTCATCACTTCCAACAACCAGCACAATTTGCGTCCCAGTAACTTAATCTCTATGGTTATTCCCAAAGCTCGCACCTCCTTTGGCCGCACCGCACCTCATTCCAGTTTGCTTCCAACAACTGGGATGAGCTGCAAAAATCACTGAAGCTCACTACCTACATTTTATTATCTACCTTCAATAATTCATTGCAATCAATAGTTTCTGATCAATGTGCTTCTGAGTACTTAAAGGCGGTTTTAAGTCTGTTTTGATAGCTTGTACATATTATATATGAGAACAGTCCTTTGTCTTTATGTCTGCTTAATCTTATTTTTATCTTTTTTGCTTTTATCTTACCTGTTTTTCTTTGATGCAAAGCTAACTGTGTCTGTTGCTGCTGCCTCTTGGCCAGATCGTCGTAAATGAGACTGAGTTCTCAATCGACTCATCTGGTTAAATAGAGGTTAAATGAATAAATTTGTGCATTGATTTGGTGGAAATTCACTCTTGAGTTGGTCCAGATCTGAGCAGATGTTAGTGTGACATCCTGACAGGTGCTGATATGAGCTGGTTTCCCTCTGACTGCTCGTGAATGCTTCACACAACCCAGCCTCAAAGGAAGAAACTGAACTTTTAATGAATCTAGAGGTAGTTTGCACCCAGATGACCTCTAGCTGATTTGTTGTGACGTGACAAAACAATCTGTCTTTGGCTTTCTCTGAACCACAACAAAGAGATACAACCATTTCATTTTTTTGTATTAAAAGGGACCTGAAGCTAATTTAAAGGCTTTGGATCAAACTGAAGCTCTGTGATTAAATAACGATTGCTCTGCTACCATCTGTGTTGGTTCTTAAAGTGGAGGGAAATTAATTGGGAAAGATTCAAATGTGTTGATCAACAACTTAAAAACCACCAGTGTGATGGATTTAACTTTGCTTTGTGTTGTACAAACATTTGTGTTTTCTTTATTAGTGTCACAGTCATTAGAATATAGTAGCTCATTACCTACGGTTATTAGCGTTATTACGTTCTGATCATTTTATGCCACAAAGGTTATAAGCTATTATAATAATACAGATGAAGAGTGCACGTGGTATGGTTGGTTTTCTTTTTTTCCTTTCCCAATCATTCAATCTGGCTCATCAATTCTAGGAAGATGACTTATTCATATCTGTGAAGTCCTCTGGAGAAACCCCAATCCTCTGTGGAGGTCGCTTTGCTCTCAAAAAGTCAAAGGAGCTCCATCGTAGATCTCAGAATCCCACATGGAAGCCTCACATGTTAAATGTGGAGATAACCGCAGTATAATAAAAACTCTGTGTATCTCCTCTCAACCGTTTCAATTAATTAAAAGATGAAAAATACGGTAAAATGAATAAAAATGTCATGAAAATGACTTCTGTTGAGATCCAGGTTGGCTCCATTAATTCTGATTTGCTAATTAAATCATAATAAAGGCAGGTCTTGCTTCTCATTGGTGAAAAAACTACAAATTTTAAAAGTAAAAAAGAAATGCCAGTAACGATTTCATGAGACCAGTTTAAAACAAGCTGGGAACAATGCCAGCTGCTCCAAAAGACCCAAAACAAAAAGTACCTTCTGAGCCTCTATACCTCACCAGTATGTTTTAAATATATATTTGCTGCCCTAAAAGATTGATGAGAACAGCCTGTCTAAAGAGGTCCAACTTCAGGGAAACCAGTCACATGTTGATGTCTTTGTGTGTTATGGCGGAGCTGGGCGGAGCTTCCTCCACTCTCCTCCCTCTCAGCGCCAACGAGAAAACATTGTGGACGGCGTGAGAAACTCTTAGGAGAAGCTCCTTCAGTCCGGCTCGGTACTCTCTACGGATCAGGCAGTAGAGCACCGGGTTGAGACAGCTGTTAGCGTGGGCCAGACACACAGTCAGGGGGAAGGCGTAGGCCTGGGCGTTATAGAAGGCCTTGCTAAAGGGCACCAAGTCGAACTTGATCAGCACCCCCCACAGGGTGAGGGCCTGGTTTGGCAGCCAGCAGATGAAGAAGGATAGAACCACGATGGTGACCGAGCGGGTGACCTTGGAGCGGGAGCGGTGGCGTCCTTTCTCGTGCTCTGACTTCTCGGTGCCGCTACCCACCGTGCTGCCAACGACGCGCCGACTCAAGATAAACCTCAGCAGGAGGAGGTAGCAGACAGAAATGATTATCAAGGGAACTACGAACCCCAGCAGGACCTTCTGTGTTTGGTAGAGCCCCAGGAGGACTTGGGGATCCCAGTGACCCGAGTCAGAGTCTGAAAACCGAACTAAGCACAGTTCATCATCTGCAGACACCTGCAAACACAGAACCAGAGGATCATTACCCAAGAACAAAGCTGGTCAAAGCTAAAGCTTTGGTAGTCTCAACAGACCTGCACGGTGGTGGAGTAGAAAGCATGAGGCAGCGTGGCCACCAGTGACACCACCCAAATGGCTGAACTGGCCCACTTGGCCCGAGCAGTGGCCACCCTGGGGCTCCCCATTTTCAGGGACGTAATCAGCGAGTGGTAACGAGTCACACTCATGGCGGTGAGGAAGAAAACGCTGGCATACATGTTCATGGTGGTGACCGAGCTAACGATCTTACACATGACACGACCGAAAGGCCAGCGGAAGTCCAGCACCGTGTCCACAGCCCAGAAGGGCAGGGTGAGGACAAACTGGAGGTCTGTGATGGTCAAGCTCATGACGAAGCAGTCAATGGCAGAATGGTGGTGTCCACGACGACGGGAGTGGAGCAGGAAGAGGGCCAGGAGGTTACCCACAAGCCCCAGGACACACACCACCAGGTAGACCAGGGCAATGAGGACTCTCACCTGTCTCACACACACACACACACACACACACACACACACACACACACACACACACGCACGCACACACACACACACATTTAACAAAATGTTTCCTGTAAATTGTTCCAAAAGTTCATCTGAAAACCTAGTAGCCATAGATCACATGACTTTTGATTGCTCCAAAGTAAACTTACTGGCAGGTTGGAGCTGTCTCCATTCAGATCCAGAGATGAGTCTTTGGAGAGGATCTGCAGCCAGCAGTTGAGTGAAAGATTAAAAGCTGGCAGAGTGGAGCCGACTCCTGTCGGGCTGACTAGCTCGGATATTTCCTCCTCCTCTCCTCCGCACGCACTCAGCCCGGTGAGAGGTCCGGAGGAGGTGCTGTTGCTCTGCATGACTGAGCAGAGGAGGAAAATAGTCACTCTAAGAAAAAACAAACACAAAAACTTCCCAGGTTTTCCCTCTTCTGCCTGGTTAACTTCCGGACTGATGGCGTGCGGGTCTGGAGCCAAAAGTCTCCATCCTTCTCATCCTGCGTTTGGCGCACTGAACTGTGCTCCTGCACACATGTCCTGATTTATGTTTTCTTAAAGAAATGTTGCTAATCTCTAAATAAACGAGTCGGTTTTACAGTCAGCCGCGAGTCTGACATGTTGCAGCTTCCTCCTCCTCCCGAGTCTGTGCGCTCAGGCGGATTGAAGGCGTTTATATTTGCTCTCATCTCTTCACGGCGCACCGCGGGAGCGCGCGGCTCTTTACTATAGCAGGAGCTCTATGAGGCAGGGATCCAGCTCCAATTTACGTTAAATCTTCAAGCAAATAACATTATTTTAAAAAAGTTTAGTGATAAATATGATTTTTGAGATTATCATTGACAAACTAGAAGGTGCGCGTAAACGCCTGCGTCCATTTTCCTTCTTTATAGTGAAATTACTGAGAAACGAATTTAATTCAAACGATCCGAGGACTAATGGCTGCAGTTATGGAATCAAGGGGATTAGAGAAAAATAATAACATTTTTAATGAGAAGTTTTCCACTTTTTCTGAAGTCAGATGAATCATTCTACCTCTTTTCTGAAACAGTACATATACTTTGTTTTGTAAATAAAAACAGCTGTAATGTGTTTTTGTGGCTGTTCACCCCACTGATACTGATGGATCTGCACACATGACCTCCACTTAAGTAATTTTTTACATTCTGCTGCAGCTTTTCAAGGTGCTTAAAGATGTTAGCATTCATTTGCATCAGGTGGAGGAGAATGTTAAAGTGAGAGCCACTCTCTCCTCATGTGTTGCAGGTTTGACTAAAGAGAAAATAAAACCTGTTTGTCTTGGTTTTTGAAGTGGACCACACCAAGTCTGATGTAGCTTAACAAAGGACACTTACAGGCTTTGCTTTGGGTAAAATGAACACTGTCAATGGCTGCTTCTGCAAAACATAACAGCAGTGAAAGTGCTGAAAGCCTGTCAGGTCCTCCATGTCCTGTGGGAGTGCAGGAAAGGTTGCAAAAATCTGATCATGAAGGTGGTTTTGAATAAGTCTAAAAGGGGAAAATGGCTGCAGATTTCATAAAATATCATGAGAAATAAATTAACAACATGCAGAATTTAAAGAGCAAGTCACCCCCAAATCAACTTTTTTTTTATGATAAACTATATATCTAAAAGTCCTGTGGACACAAGCAGTCAATAATTTGGCACTACAGTGCATCTTAGTTAAAACTATCAGTGTTGTCAGGTAAAAACTCTGCACTGCATTTGAATTTAAATCTGCCATCACTATTGGCTAAGGGGTACACTATGACATTAGCTGGTACATAATGATGTCACAATGCTGTCATGAACCTGTGTGTGTGTGTGTGTGTGTGTGTGTGTGTGTGTGTGTGTGTGTGTGTGTGTGTGTGTGTGTGTGTGTGTGTGTGTGTGTGTGTGTGTGTTAGTGGCTCCACCCTCTCAGTCTGCCTGGCAACAGCATTTGTCGCATCTTTCAAATATGAAGTAGGAGTGGAGTAAGTTTCTTGTAGAGGGTGACTTGCACTTTAAAAAAGTTGTAATACAGAAATCATGCAGGAACAAAAACGGAATCTTAAACACAAAATTCAAAATTTTGATTCATAACAATCCTTTAACAACACGTTTCTCAAAGGTTGCGATAAAAGAGAGGATATTTAATAAAACAGTGAGGTCAACTTCACTGAAAAATATTTTTAATTGATGCAGGACATCTGTTTATTGATTTAAGAAAAGCATTTGATACCATAGACCATAGTTTGTTACTTTCTAAGTTAAAGGATTATGGGATACGAGGGAAAGCTCATGATTGGTTAAGTAGTTATCCCACTAAAAGAAATCAATTTTTACAGTTAAAAGAATACATTTCAGATTCTCAAATTATTACATATGGAGTCCCACAGGGTTCTGTGTTGAGACCTAAGCTCTTTAATTTGTATATTAATGATATTTGTGATGTGTCCAAATTATTACACTTCATTTTGTTTGCTGATGATACAAATATATTTTGTTCTGGGAATGACTTACAAATTATTTTGGAAAATATGGATTGTGAGATGATTAAACTTAAGTGGTTTATGGGCAATAAACTATTTATAAATTGAAATAAAACAAAATTCATGATTTTTGTAACAGGAAGACAGATGATTCTGTTACATTGTCCATAGATTGTACTTCGGTTGAAAGAGTAAATTAAGTAAGATTTTTAGGGGTCGTCTTGGATCATGAACTTAATTGGAAACCCCATATAAAATATATAAAACAAAAACTGTTTAAAAATATTGGACTTTTAAATAAAGTAAAAAGTATTTTGGAGTCATCAGCACTTCATATATTATATTATTCATTTACTGTTCCATACTTGACTTATTGTATAGAGGTTTGGGGCAACACATATAAAACAAACACTAATCATTTGTTTTTATTATAGAAGAAAGCTATGAGACTTATATACAAAGTAGATGCTAGAGAACATACTAATGGTTTTTATTTAATCAAAAATTATGAAATTCAGGGGATTTGGTTAATTTGAAAACTTTACTAATTATGTTCAGGGCAAAAAAGAGGTTACTGCCAGTGAAGTTACAGAAGTTTTTTGTTTTGATTTCAAATGATGGAAAAAGTAGAAAGAAGCCTGAGCTTAAAAGAGTTTTTGCACGAACAACATTAAAGCAAATGTGTATTTCGGTATATGGAGTCAAATTATGGAATAATCTGGATGATGACCTGAAAAAATTAACTATACCGATCAATTTAAGAGACTGTATAAAGAAAACATCATAGAATCCTATGATTGATAAGTAAATATTGAGTAAGTACACTGACAAGTTTTATTGTGATATTGTTTGCAAAGATAAGGAAGTTCTATACTTGGTTTGTGTATAAGGCCATTCTGTCAATTATATTGTATGAAGTAGAAAGGGGTAGGTCATATTGGACTTCTTCTTCCTCCCCCTTTTTTCACTTAGGAGACTGTTGATGATTGTATTTTGCATGAATGATGAATGAAACCGCTGAGTGCAAAAATAAATTAACAATTAACAATTATGTTATTTTATTCCTGTTTGGTGTATTTACCTGATGAAAGGTTCTTCAGTAATGATATCATTGTTTTATTGATATTCGCTCATAAATTCATCAAAGTTTTAAAAGACAAGTCAAGCTTTAAAGAGCACAATTTACCCTTCAGAGATAATTTGGAAACTGTTCATTCAGTAAATCATTTCTTATTAATTATTAGTGAAAATTCCCTTAATTCGTTGAAGATGGACCAGGAACGTTTTTTCAGAGTGACCTCTGCGTGTCCTCAGGTGTCAGCTCCTCAGAAGTCAAAACCGTCTGAATGAATTTCTTTATTTCAATCTCACTATAACAATGCAACATGTTGTTTAAAGATGTTTGATCAATTATTAATTTCAGACTCAGAAAGCAGAGTGTCCCAATTCTTGGGGCAGCAGTAGCTCAGGTGGTAGAGCGGGTTGCTTCATCATTGGAGGGTCATGGGGTCGATTCCAGCTCCCGCCAGGGGTATCCTGCTGTTGTGTCCTTGGGCAAGACACTTCACCCAACTTGCCTGTGTTAGTGGTGGTCAGAGGGGCCGACGGCGCCAAATGGCAGACCTCCCCAGGGCGGCTGTGGCTACAAGTAGCTTACCATCACTAGCAGCGTGTGAATGTGAGAGTTTGTGAAAGCGTCTTTGGGTGTCTAGAAAAGCACTATATAAGTTCAATGCATTATTATTATTATTACTTCTAGATTTGGGTCATATTTGTTACATGTCTTCTCTAAATTAGGAGCTTTCAGGTTTCAGACTGATGTCTAGAATACGGTGGCGTGTGTTAGGAATATTGTATGTTCATTTAGTCTAGCAGGTTAGCACTGATGTGCAGACGTTCAGCTGAGATTCTCTCAGCAGGACGGGAACATCTCTGTTTGTGGAATGGCTTTTTGTCCGTTTTCATGAATCACAGTTTAAACACAATACATCAAAACAAAAATTATTACATTTTTATTTCTTGAGGTTTTGGTTCAGCTTCTCTGTAATTTGTCAGTTTTTATGTAAAGCACCTTGTGTGACCGCTTTGAGCTCAAGTTCAGGTCTCTACAGCAGTGAGCAGATGCTGAAAACCCACTGACACACACACACACACACACACACACACACACACACACACACACACACACACAAGTCCTCTTGAGAGAACCACTGAGAGATTTTAAGTTTCTCTGACAGCTGCAGCTGATGATGTTCGATGTTCCACTTGTTAGCTTACGAGTGCAGAAACACGATCTATAAATGCATCTGTGCTTCATTTGTCACATGTAGTTTCTAACAGCCCTCAGAGTCAAATAGTTTTTATTTCGATGCTGCACCTTTTTGTTTTCAGCTTTATTTAGATCAGTCCATGCATGGAGGTAGAAGGACATTTAACCAATGTTATTTAAAAGCCTGACTTTTATGTTGTCGCCTGTGTTCATGCTGGTCTGGTTGCAACGATGTCTCATAAACAACTGGATGAATCTTAAAGAAACCTTTAGAATCAGCCTAGTTAAAGAAGGCCGCCGCTGACTTTTGTAACATTATAATGGGTGCAGCTCAGGCAATATTACAGATTTTGAGCATAATTCATGTTTGTGGCTGAAAGTTTGTCCCGTTAGTAGTTACTATAAATTAATATAAATTAACTAAACTGTGATAACAAGTATGCCAGTGCAGTGCTATCGATTATCCCATTGTTTTTTTAAATTAGTGCCCAGTTTCTCATGTAAACAACAACAAAAAAAAACAACTATGGAATAGATTTATTGTGCAAGTAAAAAATTTACATATTTTTGGAAAAGAAAATGTCTTTATTTCATTTTCTAATATAAAACAGTGTCATATTCAACTAAATACATTTGAAGTCAATAACAAAACAAAGCAGTGAAAATGCAAAATGTATGATGTATGATTGTGATGTGTAATAATCCTTTACATTGATGGAAAAATAAAAAAGGAGGATTTTGAGGCTTGTCATACTTTTGCTTGCACACGTCTTTGGGATGGATGTTTGTGAGCTGAAGTGCCACAGAGTAAAAAAAAAAAAGCTGATGCTTGAAAGCAAATAAAGTGCTGGATCTCATGATGCGTTTACAAACATGTCAACAATCCTGAGCTACATGTTTCTACTCATGTACCAGTGGTAATCATCCTCCGGTCTGTGATCCTGACGGTGGTGAAAGCAGGGGAGGTCCATCCAGCCCCAAAGCGTCTCCTTCAGGCTCCGCAGGTCTTCGGATCCCCTGGGGACGGGCAGGAGAGAAGGAGGTGGAGAAGGAGGGATATCTCCCACTTCATCCATCGAATGCATGGAGCGAGACGATGCTGATTGAGAGAGACATGCTGGAGTTGAAGGTGTGTGTATGTGTGTGTGTGTGTGTGTGTGTGCTGGCTTGCGTGACCACAAGGTGTGTGTGAACAGACCTTTGGAATCTGAGTATTCTGCATGGCTGCGCTGGCTGTAAGGGTCTGGCTGAAGATTTGAAGAAATCAGCAGAGAGAAGGAGAATAGCAGAACCTGGACACAAGCAAACAAGGAGTCATGCAGCGAAATGAGGAGGAAATGGAAAACACACAGAAACAAAATAAAAACGCTTCATCAGGCATGACCTACTTATCATCTAACACAAAAGATGAGCACAGGTGCTGTCCAAACGCTCAAATCAGGCTGCTTTTAGACCTTAAAGGTTAACGCAGCAGGACAGCAGTAGGAGCTTGGGCTGTATTTTATTGATGTATTTATGTTTAACACACTTTCAGCGTTTCTGACAGTGGTGCAAACGGAAACGCTGCAGCGTTGTGTCTCACCAGGATGCAGGTTCCTCTGTTTGTTGTTTTGCTGGAGCTATTAGGCAAGAGGGCCTGTAGCTGGTTGAGCTGCTCCAGCAGAGCGCTGCAACACAAAGAGATGAAAGGGGTTGTGTGAAAGTTTCACGTAAGGGCCCACAGCTGAAATACACACATCACTTTTACGGCATCTGTGATCTTTGCCAACTGAAGCAAAAAGGAAGCGAGCAACACGCTCACAGGGAAAGAGTGTGCATCGAGTTCCTTCCTGTTTTGTTGTTTTTTTCTTCTGTTCACAGCAGCAATATGCCAGCATCAGACAGAGGGAATGTAACCAGACGGCATATTGAAAAGGAAGCTAAATCAGAAAAAAGAGCCGTTTTTTAGATTTTTGCATTGTTGCAAACCACACACACACACACACACACACACACACACACACACACACACACACACACACACACACACACACACACTCAGAAATATTCTTATCCAGGCTGTCAGCACCCTGAGAGAAAGAGCTTGGGGCCGCATGGATATAGATCAACTCATAATCCAGACTGACACGATTACACAACAAAGACCCAGAATAGAAAAAACATAATCTGAATAATTATAAATAATTATAACTGCTTTGTCCAATAATAATAATTAACTCAAATTTAAATGATAGTTTTTTGAATGAAAGAACTTGTTAAAATAACACGCGTGCATGACTTGATTGGGACAGGACTGTTTTGGAAAATATTTATTAAACACACATGAGCCTGTTCCCCGTGTCTAAATAGTGACGTCATGGCGTCACCTTACATCTATGAGGTCATCAGGCTTGTGCGACTACTCACTTGTTGGTCTCCTCTAACTGCAGGACTTTTCTCTGCAGCTGAAGGTTTTGGGTGCTGCATGCAGCCATCCTACCAACAGAGACAGAAAGCATGAAGAAAATGGAAATAAACAGCTGATGAAACCACTAAAACCACCTTTGCCAGCATCCACCTCCTGATGTGTGTTTCAGCTCTCATTATGACCCTCAGCTGATAATGATAATATCCTGTTGATACGCTCCGCTTGCCGCCTCTTTAATTAGCAGCAAACGCTGACTCTACTCAGCCCATCATGAATCTTCTGTTAACAGGAGGCAGCAGAGCTCAGGCTTGAATGAGACATGAGACGTTAACAGCCTACTATTGAAGCTCTTGAGCTGTCTGATTTCAAATGAAATGAAAGCCTCTTTCATGTTTTTATAGTTCACGTTATGGTTCCCAGTTTTTTAAAGATCTGCAGACAGCTGGTGAACAATTAACCCGATGATGCATTTCAATAATGAAATAAAAGGAAAAGGTTGGTGCACCCAGCTGCACGCTCCACCGCCCTGCATTGTTTGTGGGGGTGCGAAGAGGTGGAAGAGCCAACATGTGGGAGGCTGTAGCTCGGTTTACTCATTTGTTGACAAATTTCCTGCCTGTATGTTGAGGATCATTCTCAACAGCCTGGAGACAGAGAGGGAGGAGATCTAAACTGAGCTGAATCTTGGCAAAAAGCTTCTCCTCTTCTTGTGTGTCGTGTTGCATCATCTTCAGGTTTCGTTAGAACCCTCCTGAAGCTGGAGCACACGCTGAGTAAGTCTCACACAGCAGGAATATTCACTCTAAACGCTGATTCATAATCTGGTTATCTGCTAGATTCTCAGAGTTCAGCTGGCTGCTCGCTGGTGGACTTCTGTGGCATTAACTGTGGCCCATGATTGTGGCGCAGAATGAATGTTGGAGCTGCGTGTTGAAATGTTCCAGAGTTATTATCGTTTCCATGACGTGACAGTTCAGGATAAGAGCTGTTCCATATTTTCTCCCCTGAATCGACGTCCCTGTCACGGCTAATAGAGGAAAGACATTTTGGGAATGATAGAGAAACAGGAAAAATAACAGAGACGTCAGGAATGATCAAAGATGAAAACTACAACTCTGCTTCTGTTTCTCTACAAATACGGTGCAAACACAAAGTCAAAGTGACTCGGGAAATGTGGAAAATAATGTGAAACAGTAACGCTGAACCAGTGAGTTGTGAAGACGATATTTAGTCGGTTACACAAAATGTGTTTCGCTGAAGCCGAAAGTTCGAGAGGGAAGCTCAGAAATTTGGTGTGAAATTGAGCTGAGGCAGAAACAACTATCAACTCTAAAGACATGAATATTTTTTGTTATAATGATTTATATTTATTATTATTTTGTATTATAATTTTGTTATTTGTTTATTCATTTTAGCTGGAGCAGTTTGGCGTACGATATTCAGACTACACACCACCTGTGAGACAGCACGAAGTAGGCTAAAAGATCTCAAAAAGCAACACGCCCCCCCCCCCCCCCCTTTTTTTTCTAAAGAAACACAATAAATGAAAGAACTGAGAATATTTAAAGTTCTGCTGGGCTCACAGGAACAATATGGGCAAATAAACACCCCCAAGACTTCTGGGTAGATATTCTGTGGAATGGCGATGCAAACATGGAGTAACCAACAGTCACACATAGTGGGGGTAGTTTGATGGTAAGGGGCTGTTTTTGATATTGCAGGAATTCTGTTCTCTAGCAGAAGATCCTGATGGAAAATATCTGACCTTTGACCTCAAACAGACGGCTCATGCAAGGAAACTCTCCAATGTGACTGAATTTAAACAGTTCTTTAAAGAAAGGCAGGAAAAAAATTCCTCCACAGAGATGAGAGAGATGCGTGTGTGTGTGTGTGTGTGTGTGTGTGTGTGTGTGTGTGTGTGTGTGTGTGTGTGTGTGATATTTGTCTCATCTCATCCTCTTACTTTATTCTGATGATCAAAACCAAGAGTTCTGTGATCTGAGTTTTCTCTGATGAATTCCTGTCCATTAAACAAGTCTCACCAAAAAAAAAAGCTTTCATTACATCTGCTCTAATAAAAGTTAGTCACAAAGTTTGTTGAGGTTTCATTAAATTAAACTGAAGTGTTTGACAGTGCAAACTAATGGCTGCACACAAAAAATGCAAAGTTTCTAGGCCACGACACAAAATAACGATTTCACGATGAGCGAGGATGCTGAGCACAGCAGCACCTACCTTCCTTCCAGATTGTCAACATATTCCCTCTTCTTCTTCCGACTTTCTTGAGCCGAGTGCTTGTTGCGTATCTTCCGCCGGATCTTTTTCAAAATCCTCTCCTCAGACTTGTCATGAAGATGAAATGGATGTAGGAACGGGGACAAGAAAGAACCAGGAAGAAACGGATAAGTGAGACAAATGAGTGGGTTGGGAAGAGGAGAGGAGTTGTGTAACTGATCTAGATTCAGATTTAAAGGTGTGTGTGTGTGTGTGTGTGTGTGTGTGTGTGTGTGTGTGTGTGTGTGTGTGTGTGTGTGTGTGTGTGTGTGTGTGTGTGTGTGTGTGTGTGTGTGTGTGTGTGTGTGTGTGTGTGTACGCGCGCGCGCATGTGTATGTGCCTACATCTGCAGGAGGCTTATGTACCTTGGACAGGGGCAGTTTGCAGGGCAAGTCTACACCTTCTTTAGCCAGAAGCTTCTTCTCATCCTCATTAAGAACAAGTTCTTGCAAGGAATGCTGGGAGATTTGCTGTGTCAGCAAAACACCACACTGTTAGCTCATAAAATAACTTTTCTTTGGTAGAAGTGGGTTTTTCTGCTCCTTCTGGAGCAGGACACAATTAAAAACATCTCATTTGCAACATTTGCTTACCGCCTGACCCACGTCGGATAGAAGCAGGTCCTTCACTGTGAGCGAGTGACCGGATGGAAGCAAAGGGTTCTGGCAGTATACGAGTCCAAACTCCTCATGGAAGCCATCTGACTCCCAGTCTGCACAAAGACACAGAAACAACAATGAAATGGATGATTGTGACATGCAGAAATTGACTGCAAGTGCAATTCAAAATAAATGGCATCCCTTTGTGCTTCACAGCTGAAAACGCACTGAACATGATGGTTTCTGCATTTTGTAGGTAAAGCAAAACGCAAAAAGATTCATCTGTTCATCTGTTAAAATTATGCGTTAAAACCTCATAAATTACTAACATAGTTGCTAAAATGGGAAAAATTGCTATTTTTTGCAGTTAAAGGATCATAAGCAGGTGCATTTAAGGTTTTTTATTTATTCTTTTTTTTTTGCAACAAATATAAAAAAATGGAAAAAGGTGAGATAAGGCCAGCGTGTGTGGAAGAGGAGGTCTCATGTTGCTGCAAATGAGTCAGGACCCGAGCCCAGACTGATGAAAAATAAACGCATTCAGCCTGAACCGACAGGGATCTTGTTATATAATCTCATCATTACATCAAAAGATTTGATTATATTTGTGTTGTGATCCTTTCAAGTCTAAAAAGGTGTGTGGATGAGACATAGGAGAAGATAAGGAGTGCCAAAGGCAGGCGAGACGTTAAAAACAGCCGAAGGTGGAGGGATCAGATAGGTGAGGCGTTGAGTTAACGCCGTTTGTCCCAGTTTGACTTTGTCAAACACCAGGGTTGGTAAATTATCTTCATCTGCGTCAAGGCTCCCATTTGTTCCCCGGGTTTCACTCCTGCTGCTGACGAAAATAATAATAATAACAAAAACCACCTTGAATGAATGCATGATTGCAATCATTTTGGCTGACTTTGTTGCCATGTTTGTGAATGCAGCAGCCTCTGCACGTGATGGCAGCATGACGTCCTGTTTCTGATTTTATTCTGTAATAACTCAAAAGTAAAGCGTCTGTGAGGAGAATCCAAAAATACGAAGCTGTTTATCCCAAATGGATTAATTATCCACCTTTTTTATTAATCCACCCGATCCACATTGCACCGAACCCTTCATGTTCCTCCTGCAGGTGGTAGGTCCACAGTTGGATGAGCCCATGTATACGGTTCGGGCTGGGCCCGGCCGGGCCCCATGGGTGAAAGCCCGGCCACCAGGCGCTCGCTCACGGGCCCCAACCCCTGGCCTGGCTCCAGGGTGGGACCCCGGTAACCCTCCGGGCCAGGTACTCCGACTCTTTGTTTTAACGTCCGTGAAAGATCCTGTGAACCGTTCACCCTTCACCTAAGACCAGTTTGTCATGGGAGACCCTACAAGGGGCACAAAGTGCCCCAGACAACATAGCTCCTAGGATCATTAGGGCACTCAAACTCCTCCACCACAATAAGGTGACGGTTCAAGGAGGATGTGGATCGGGTGGCAGACAGAGGCGGGAGCCTTGGCGGTCTGATCCCCGGACAAGAAAACTGGTTTTTGGGACATGGAACGTCACCTCGCTGGCGGGGAAGGAGCAGGAGCTTGTGGCAGAGGTTGAGCGGTACCGGCTAGATATAGTCGGACTCACCTCGACACATAGCATTGGCTCTGGAACCCAAGTCCTTGAGAGGGGTTGGACACTCTTCTTTGCTGGAGTTGCTCTGGGTGAGAGGCGGAGAGCTGGGGTTGGCTTTTTGTTAGCCCCAAGACTCTCTGCCTGTGTGTTGGGGTTTACCCCGGGGGATGAGAGGGTAGCTTCCCTGTGCCTTTGGGTCGGGGAACGGGTCCTGACTGTTGTTTGTGCTTATGGGCCAAATATCAGTTCAGAGTACCCACCCTTTTTGGAGTGCCTGGGACGAGTGCTAGATAGTGCTCCATCAGGGGACTCCATTGTCCTGCTGGGGGACTTCAATGCTCACGTGGGCAATGACAGCTTAACCTGGAGGGGTGTGATTGGGAGGAACGGCCCGCCTGATCTGAACTCGAGTGGTGTTTCGTTATTGGACTTCTGTGCAAGCAGCAGTTTGGCCATAACGAACACCATGTTCGAACATAAGGATGCCCATCGGTACACTTGGTACCAGGGCAGCCTAGGTCGCAGGTCGATGATAAACTTTGTAGTCATATCATCTGACCTGTGGCCGTATGTTCTGGACACCCGAGTGAAGAGAGGAGCGGAGCGGTCAACTGATCACCACCTGGTGGTGAGTTGGATCAGATGGCAGGGGAAGATGCCGCGTAGACCTGGCAGACCCAAACGTATAGTGAGGGTCTGCTGGGAACGCCTGGCAGAAGAACCTGTCAAGACGGTCTTCAACTCCCACCTCCGGCAGAGCTTTGACCGCGTCCCGAGAGCAGTGGGGGACATTGACTGCGAGTGGGCCTTGTTCCACTCTGTGATTGTTGAGGCGGCTGTTGCTAGCTGTGGTCGCAAGGTGGCCGGTGCCAGTCGTGGTGGCAACCCCCGTACCCACAGGTGGACACCAGAGGTTCGGGGAGCCGTCAGGCTGAAGAAGGAGGCCTACAGGGCGTGGCTGGTCTGTGGGTCTCCGGAGGCAGCAGACAGGTACCGGATAGCCAAGCGGGGTGCAGCAGTGGCAGTTGCCGAGGCAAAATCTCGGGCGTGGAAGGAGTTTGGTGAGGCCATGGAGAAAGACTATCGATCAGCTCCAAAGAGGTTCTGGCAAACTGTCCGGCGCCTCAGGAGAGGAAGGCAGCAACTTGCTCACACTGTTTACAGTGGGGATGGGGAGCTGCTGACGTCAACTGGGGCTATAGTCGGACGGTGGAAGGAATACTTTGAGGAGCTCCTCAATCCCCCCTACGCGCATTCCGAGGAGGAATCAGAGCCGGTAGACCTGGGGATGGACTGTCTCTGGGGCAGAAGTTGCTGAGGTAGTCAAACAACCACACTGCGGCGGAGCCCCGGGGCCGGATGAGATTTGTCCTGGCCAGTTGAGGTGGCTCGGGCATCTGGTCAGGATGCCTCCTCGACACCTCCCTGGTGAGGTTTTCTGGGCACGTCCAACCTGCAGGAGACCTAAAGGTAGACCCAGGACAAGGTGGAGGGACTATGTCTCTCATCTGGCCAGGGAACGCCTTGGGATTCCTCCGGAGGGGCTGGCCCAAGTGGCTGGGGATAGGGAAGTCTGGGCCTCTTGCCTTAGGCTACTGCCCCCGCAACCCGACTCCGGATAAGCGGATGAAAATGGATGGATGGATGGATGGATTATATTATATTATATTATATTATATTATATTATATTATATTATATTATATTATATTATATTATATTATATTATATTATATCATATTATATTATATTATATTATATTATATTATATTATATTATATTGTATTATATTATATTATATTATGATAACATATAGCAATTATTATTTATAAAAGATTAGCCTCAAGTGTGGAGTATGAGGGGAAAAAGACATCTAACTCCACGTGTTTTTATTCAAATATCGAAGGTACAAAACAGCAGGTTGCTGCTATTCAAACATACTTCATTAACTTGCGATCAGCATGAGCAACTCAGTAAAAACACATGTTTATGTTGTTTTATGTCACAGTGTTAAAGTAAAAAATGTGTTTTGTACTTTTTAAGAACCAAATGTTGAAAGTATATTTATGTCCCAACTAGTTAATATTGAAAGATAAACTTATTTGGATGCCTTTCAACTAGTTGCAGTTTACATTCATTTAAACATTTGTTACTTGTCTGTATTAAATATCTTGCCAGGATTTACTAAGGAGATCAAAAGAGATGAGACCAGCAGGTAATGGTGATAAACGCCTCCTGAAACCTGAGGGAAGCTGATGCAGCTGTAAAAACCAACAGTCTTAGTGTCTTTTAGAATGTTTTACATTTCATTTTGAATCATTTAAAAAAAAATTATTTAATTAAAGAAAAATAAAAAAGGGATCAAAATAAAATCACAAAATATTCTAATTCAACACAAAATCCACAAATGAAAAGTGGCAGATGGAAGAAGATATCAAGCTCCGCCCCTTTTTTTCCAAAAGAAAACCTCATCAGATAACGGTCCACAAATCAAACATGGGACAACACGATGAATAAACTTGATCCATCGATCCTAATGTTTACAAGCTAATCTGTATTAACAAATGAATTAGGAGACATCTCTAATCTCACTGCTATATTTATGATATGTTTCCTTCAACACATCTTTTTTGTTTACTGCGTCGTTTACTTGCCTAAATTGCTCCATAATTTTACTCCTAAATGTGGGCTTTTTGAACACATCTGTTGCTGTTAAACTATAACTGCCATCTCCTCCTACAAACACTGGGTGAACATTTACAAGCTTGCAATCATTTAAGCTCCAGCAAAGTGTAAAATTATGGGTTAGAGTGGTCATTACACTGGTTAAGACATACAGTGGTAGAGTACGAGTTTTACATGTAGAACCCCAAACATCAACATGTTTAGTATGGTGTAATCCATGCATTATTGAGTTAACATTCTAAATATATTTAATAAGCATTTTATCTCTGTGCAACGCTGCAATGGTTCTAACAACCCTTCCTTAAATGTGCTCAACATCTGGTTTCCATGAAAGAATTCCATCAAACATGACTCCCAAATATTTGGTTTCCTTAATCCTCTTAATTGCCATCCCAACCATTTCAATGACATCATTGGTGCCTCTATCATTAAACATTGAAGGAGTCATTCATTATGAAAATTGACATTATTAACAACTAAGCCATTTGCATGACTTGGTGACATCTGCTTGAGCCATTCTTCTTTTAAATCCTCTCAAAAAAACGACAACTATTTGAATAAATGAGGTCAACTGTCACAGGAACCACTCTCATTATTCCACACCAAAGAAAAGAGGTATACTTAATTGTTTGTCTGATCTCTCCATCTACTTATTTATGATTCAGGTACAAGTTTCTCCACGTTAATATTTGATATTCTTACCTAGATCAACGAAAACATCTGGCTGGTTCTTTAGTGATGGAGGCTGAGGGGACGTGTGTGTGTCACAGGCAGGGGAAGCTGTGCAGGAGAACGAATGGGGGCTCTCGGCGGGGTCTGTTCGGGAGTCTTCGTGGACGACATGGCAGGGGGTGCAGGGTGACCACAGGGGGGAGGCTGGCACAGAGGAGGAGGAGTCATGCAGCAGAGCCTCTAGGAAATCATCAGCACCGTTTCTCTGAGGGCTGGAAGCCTGGCAGAGAGGAAATGTTCAAATCATTCCATTAAGACACCAATCCAACACCCAAACATGAGATCTGATACAAGCGATCCACTTCAGATTCAGATTTCTGGTGAGTTTCTCTTCATACCTCCCACCCACCCTCCTGTACTGAATGTTCTTACATTACTAATCATGAAAGTCCATGAATGGTCGCTGAGGCAGCAGGACGATTCGTCTGTGTTCCTAAGCAGACGGTTGAACATCTCCATCTCTTCGCAGCCCTTAAAACAAGAAGTAAAGGCCTTCTTATAGAATAAAAAAAAACATTTGAATGAGTCTGTATTCAGCGTGTCACTCCACGCCTCTGATGACTCAATCAATCAAATTAAAACCACCTATCTCTCGTGAGCTTACCCAGTCTGCTGTCAGAGTCATTATTCTGAGATTAAAGCAGCTGATGAAACTTCAACGAAACCATCCAGCAGGAGTGAAAGCACAACACACAATCAGATCAATACACTCCCCCGTGGCTGCGCTGTGCAGGAGAACTAGCTGAGCCCGTTCCAAGGGACAAAGTTGAAATGACGGAGCGGCACATCCCCGAGCAGGCTTATCAATGTCCAATCCGGTTTCTGCTGACAGCTGAGAGGGCCAATTAGATCAGATGGAGGCATCTCAGATGGATTAATTAGTCAAAGTTAGTCAGAGGTGACTCACTGTGACCTTTGATGTCAATCTGACATGACAGAAATGATCTGCCTTTCTGCTTTCACGTTCTTTTTTTTATTATAGCCAGGCAGCTTTCATTTATAGCATTTTTTAAAATTGCTGTCAGGGGCAGAAGGTAGAGAGACACGTTTTAATTGCTGGGATCTCTCCTCGTTACTGAGGCTCATTGTGAGGCGATGCAGATCATGAAGAGGTTGGACAAAGCTGTTGGAGGCAGAGATGATTAGTGAAAGGCCGTCGGATGTCTCCGTCTAAAACCAGCGAGGGATGAGTCATCAGAAGTGAAACTTTCAAACTAAAATAGTGATTTAATGCAACTTCAAGTTAACAAAGGAGACAGGTTCTGATTAATATGGTGGATGTTACATCTCGGAGACAGAATGAGTCCAAAGAAATTCAGATTTAGACGCCCAAGTTGCACATTTTAAACCAACATTTTCCTTTTGGGAATGGCTGCTTGGAACAGGTTTTGGGACCCCTACGAAGCTTTGGAATTAAAAACGCGGCTTGGGAATGCTTTCAAAAGCTTTGTTAAAGACACACTTTAACCAGACTGAAAGCAAAACAAATCAATTAAAAGTAAGCTTGCTGTAGCATCTCAGCATTTGTTTACATTGTCTGAGGAATCTGTTGCTGATGATAGTTTAAAGACGTTTGTGCAGAGCAGCGACACATTTCCACCTGTTCTGCTGCTTCTAATCTTTATTGGTGTCATTAGAGCAGCTGTGTTATTTCTAAGCAAAGGCACTATAAGCCAGAGAGTGTTACATAATATGTTCTCCACGGGAGGAACATGCACACTAGCAAAGATTTATCTGGTGTTTATCTCAGAGGAAGCAGAGCGATCACATTACTCGTCCTTTCTCTAATTCCCAGAAATATAAAATCATCCAGACAGGTTTTCATCATAACTTCAAGGTTTTGTTTCTCCTCTGAGGTTCACTAATCCCTTTTGTTCGCTCTTCACCGATTTTTCTTTGTATTTCATCTGACATGACAAAAAAAGACTAAAGAAATAAGACTGTTTTGTCATGTTAGTTTCTAAATGATTAAAGACATGAATTTGTGCAAAGAATGAATCAGAAACTCTTCATTTCAGATTAAACCTTGGGTTTAGTAAAAATCTTAGAATCTGGCCTGTTTAAGCCTCAAAATCAGTTCAGAAAATGTCCCTCCAAGATCTCAAAGATATATAAGATTCTCCTTTTTTCACAAACACTTTATAGAATGTTAAAAAAAAAGACTTGAATAATGTTCTAGACATGTTTGGAGTATGTTATTTTATATTTTTTTGCGGGCTTTCTAAGAAACTCATATTCCAGAACTGCATATAAATAAGGTGCAAGGTTATTCTAAATAATGACTCCGTAGGCGTGAATGATTCATTGATGAGAGCTGGATTCATTGTTATTTTATAAAATACATAATTCATTCATTGGGGTCTGTGTATGAATCCTGAATGAGTACTTTATTCTAGAAAGTACCAATTTGCTGTGTTCAGTAATAAGCTTCATCACATTGCAGTAGAGCTGTTATCTTTACTGTTGTAAACAGAGATTAGAGAGATGCAAAGTACAGGTAGATAGGACCCAAACAAGTAATTATGCCACTAATAATCACAATATCATCATACAATTGTACATTCGTCATGAAATGTTCACGATGAGTTACGACTATCATTAAAAGTGTTGTTCCGAAGCTATATTTGGGATGTGATTCTCAAGATTTGTCTTTTAATTGTTGAACCAAATGCAAAGTACCTCCACTTTTATCATTCCTGTTGCACATTTCAATTTAGAAACCATGAAAAAATGTTGTTTTCAGATAAATGAATAGAAATCCAGAAGTAAAGAAAGCCTGCTGTTACTTAAGATCCATTTTATATCTCATTATAAAGGTAAGTTGGTAGGAAACTGGGATTATGCCATTAAAATAATTTTTATGACAGGCGTTTTGCTGGATGGCTCTGATCAGGAGTTATATTGCTGATGAATGTTAAGTGCTTCCATACATATGGGAACAACTGAGTTTCTGTTTGTGTTAGAGCTGGTTGATCATTTATATTTATAGTACTTATCTCAAATTAAGCTCTTAGAAATACTTTTTTAAAGCTGTCTGTACACGTTTCACCATCTCTTTATTCAAAAAATTATAATAAACATTTGTAATTCAATAGTGGCAGTCAAAAAGCTCCAAAGCCAGTAAACAGAAGCGACCCAGAAGTTATTTCTTGTACCCCTAAGAAGCCACAGCACTCTTAAATTGGGTCAAACAATTTAGAGGCTAACGTTGAGCTAACAATGCTAACAGTGAATTAGGAGCAAATAGTCGGCTCTAAACATATCAAGTTATTAAATTACCAATTCAATTACCAACAACTTGATTTTACAGTCAAATTAATGTGTGAAGTGAATAATGAGTCGACTGTGGCATTTTACCTCCTTTAATGTGTCATACAGAACTATAACAGCAAGCTAACAACAAGATGGCAAAGTATAAGTTATTTAATTATTTTATTGTCTTGCTTTGTTCATCTTGAGTGTTTTATGTACAGCACTTTGGGTTGCAGAAGCATTAAGTGTGCTTTAGAAATAAACTTGACCTTGATAAACATGAATACACAGATGTGGCACTGGGCACTGGAGAGCGTAACAGTGTCACTGCCATAATGGGTGGGTTCTTCACTCTCCATGAGCCAATGCAGAGTGAGTTACTATGCCCATTTTTTTGTGCAGCCCACGGTTGCAACAACCGGTGTACAATTAAAAACAGATCACTTGGGATTACTGTTGACTTTTCTAGCCTATCTGTTGGGATTTTATATTTTCATTCATTCTTTCATTTATAAAACTCATTCACCGACCATATCAGCCACTCAATGTGCTGAACAAATCAATACACCATAATATAAAATCCATCAAGTAAGATATGAAATTTCTTTTGTATGTTTATTCTGTGTGTTTCATCCAACTGTATTACAGTTCTTTTTTTACCCACTTTTGAAATTGTCATAAAACCATTGAAAAAAGATTAAAAAACAAAGTTTAAAAAGAAACAATGAAATACAGAAGAGGAATAAAAGGCTGGACAACAATGCCATGTTGAGTTAGCTATTGCTAGAATGCCTTGACATAGAAGTGTGTCTCCAAGCGAGATTCAAAAGCCATCTGTGAAGGTGACTGACACACCACTAAAGATAACCGGTTCCAAAGTATAGGAGCCAATGCCAAAAAGGTACGGTTCCCCACGACCTGCACTTAGTGAAAGGAACTACCAATAGCTTCCTGTCAGCCAAGCGAAGGGCCTGCGATGGGGCATGTCTGTGCAGGAGGCTAGCAAGGTATGATGGAGCTGTTGTATGGTCTTGTATGTCAATAACAACACCTTACATTTGGCTCTACAATGCACTGGAAGCCAGTGTAAATATTCCAACACAGGAGTAATTTGCTCCCTGCATCTAGTGCCCATCACAAACCAAGCAGCAGAATTCTGAGCTAACTGCAATCGTGCAACAGCGCCCTGACTCAGGCCAGCATTGCAGTAGTCCAGCCTAGATAAAATAAAAGCATAAGTGAAAGACTCTAGGTGAACTCTGGACAACAGAAGCTGAAGTCTGGCTAGTCGGCGCAAATTAAAAAAGCATGATCGCACAACTTGGTTGATTTGCGCATCAAACTTAAGGGCCAAATCCATTTGTACCCCTAAATTTATGATGGTATACTTCATGCAAGATGTCAAAGGGTCCAGGTCCACATTGTTACAGGTGCAAACAGACGTACTCGGGCTAAGAACAATGACCTCAGTTTAAGCGTCATTCAAATGTAGAAAGTTCGTAGCCATCCAAGATCAAACATCCCCTAAGGCATCCATAAGTGTTGAGATAAATCCATCAGCCCTGTGCTGAAGGGAGATGTATCTAACAGTGATCAGCATGTAGATGGAATCGCATGTAACCATGAAGAAGATTCCCCAACGGCAATAGGTAGATGACAAAGAGAAGTGGACCTAGCACAGAACCCTGTGGCACACCCCACTCAAGTCCTGCCCAGGTTGAAGAGGTTTCCCCCAGACTGACACAATAGCTTCTTCCTAGTAGGAGCATAGCCATTGTGGGGTCGCTTCGGTAATTCACACAGAGTGTTGGAAATGATCCCGAAGAATGTCATGGTTGACTGTATCAAAGCCGCAAACAGGTCCAGCAATGGCTTGTGCAAACCAATTAAGAGAATGTTGATTTGAGATAGCGGGTGAGTGTCAATCAGCTTGAATTATTTATTAATTAATATAATCACATTCAGCTGACTTTTTTTTCTTGATCAGTGTGAGCTAATGTAGACAGAAAGTTGGTGTTATTGCTAAATTGAAAAAAAACTTTTGATTCTGCTGAGCGCCCTTTGTTCTTAGACAGTATGTCACTTGGGTTTTGGGGAAAACTTGTACAATGTAATCAAAACATTTTCTCCGATATAGTTACATCTCCCTTGAAGTTGTTCAACTACTCCTCACTACTGATCCTAAATAATCCTGATCTACAAGTCATAACTGTGTGCAAAATGAAAATTAAAAGCATAATTATGCATATTTGTAGAAAATTACAGCATCTATAAACAACTAAAAAACATGAATAGGCCTTAATAAACAAACCAAATGAATAATGGAATAACACCGTGATTTGATCAAACATACATACATAATTTATCTTGGACAGATGAAGACAAAATAAATGTAAATTAAATGCTTGTTTCTTTTTCCCCCAGCTTTGGATTTTGATTCTGCTGACCATGGTCGCCCTCTTGTGGTAATTTAGTGATATTACACAAAAATGTCTTCAAAAATTCAATTTATTTTTTGAAGAAGGAATAAGTTCTAAC